ATGAAAAGGAAAATGTATTGCACCCAAAATTCCTTAGCTTTAATAGCTCATACAAGGGGATTCTGATCACAATTCTCTCATGGAGGAAATTCAGGAACTACAGCACCGCACAACTTTCCAAAAGTGAGGCAGCTGGTAAGTAAAGGAAATGGCCACAATAATTGTATTTTGATAATAACTTGAGCACATAACATTAGGAAGATAAATCTGTGCCCCGAACAAAAGAAAAAGGAATTAGAGCCTGGGTAGCTATTAGAAGTCATTTTGGCACCAATATGTAGGACTTCTGTCTCTCCGGGTCTAAACATTTTGTTTCGGATTATTTGTACCATCATTTCCCTATAATTGCTTTGACAATAACTGTCGAGAGGTAACCAGCTCAGTCATATAATTTATTAAAAATCGTTCCCACCTTCTTAGAAGCAAAGGAGCTATTTCCCTTGGAGATAGAATTTTCTCCAAAATGCCTAGTTACCCGACAACCTTTGAGCTCTGTGAATACACTCTTCATCCCTGGGAATATCGTGATGAAAGGATCTGGCCAGAAAACACACAAAATGTGACTAGTAAGTAATAAAGCCATTCCTATGAATAGCAACTTCTGATGGCGTGTGCGATTCTATAGCATACCATTCATTAGAAAGGCGGCAAAGCAAAAGAGCACAAATTTGCTGAAGAAATCTCTGACCAGAACTTCATTTTAAGAACTGGAACTGTAAAACAAACAAACAAAAACAAAGAAAACAAAAACCCCTAAAGTGCAAGACATAAAAGCAGGAGGACTATTTAGGGGTGGGAGGGGGCTCGAGAGGGGCAGTAGGAGAAGAGAGGGTAAAGGGGTTGTGTTATTTAAGCAAATTAAAATACAATGGCCATCTATGAAAATGTCACAAGGAAAACATAATTTGTATGCTACCCAAAATAATAATAATAATTTTTTTTAAACCTCAAAGAACAAGTCTTCAAAAAACTACAAGTGTGATGCTGGTGGTGTGCCAAAATGCTACACTGCTTCTTAGTGTGTAAGGCCCTGGGTCCATCTGAACACCGAAAACAAAGAGGGGCAAAATGTGTGCTACTGGAAAAACTTGTAAGTTGCTATGCAACGAGTCTCATTTTTTTTTGTGAGTGATGTTAGCAGTTATTGGGAAAGGGAAGACTAGCCTTCAACTAAATAGCTAAGAATAAACTCAAAATTCTGATTCTTTTGCCTTTACCTCCCAGGTACAGAGGTAATAAGCATGTACCACCACATTCAGTTTTCTGAGGTGCTGGGACTTGAACCAGAACTCCATGTATGCTAGGCAGCACTCTAACAACTGTGTTATTATCTCTAGTTCTAAGGTGACTTTAAAAGATTTATTTATTACTATTTATGTGTATTGGTGTTTTGTCTGCGTGTTTATCTGTGTACCACATGCATGCAGTGCTCATGGAGGCCAGAAGAGGGCGTCAAATACCCTGGAACTAGAGTTACACCTCGCATCGCTACACCACCATGTGGGTGTTAGAACCTGAATCCTCTGGAAGACAGACAGGTGTGAGCTGCCATGTGGTGCTGGGAAATGAACCCAGGTCAAATATACTGGAACTGGAGTTACAGGTGTCTGTGCACTACTATGTGGGTGTTAGAAATAGAACCCAGGTCCTCTGGAGGAGCAGTCAGTGCTCTTAACCACTGAGCCATCCCTCCAGCCTGGATATGCAGAATTTGTTTTAAGAAATACATTTTCACTTTTGTCAGCCATCACTCCATAGAAATGATGAAATTAATAAAAACTTGTGGCTTCATTTAATTTTTATTTTTAAAAGGGGAAAAGTTAAAGTTGGGGAGTGATAGATTGGACCAAAATACAGTGCATAAAATTCTCAAAGAATAAAATTAAATGAAAAAATATATTTGGGGTCTGGAGAGATGGATCAGTAGTTAAATTAAACTGCTCTTGAAGGTGACCTGAGTTTGGATAGCAACACCTAAGTCAAGAACCTGCAACCCAACTAATCAGCATCTAAAACAAATATAGCCAAATTTTAGTAACTCTTAAATCTACAGTGAGTAAGTACCTGGGTGATGGGATATCACTATTTTTGCTGTTTGAAATATTTCATAATTTTTATAGGAAGGTCTACTTAATGTTCTAGAATGTAGAGGAACAGAAAATATGATAGTATGTGAGCCTTGAAGTGGGAGGTGTGCTCTGACATCAATTATAGCTTTCCTTGTAGTCAACTTCATTTGCTACTTTATAAAAAATTAAATCAAAAATTAATACACATTTATATAATCTTTGAAGAAGATATTCATAAAGAAGGCTGATCAACACGAGTGTCATTAAGATACTTGAGTCTCCTAGAGTCTTCTACGATTCATGTATTTTAAATAATCATTTTGAAAATGTCTATTTGGAAAAAAATGCATTCATCTTCCTTCTTCTATATAAAAGACGCCATAGCTGATCACTGCTACTTAAGCAAAGAAACTAGACAGCCAAATGCAAACACCCATGTAAGTGCAGAGTTTTGGTCTTCTCTTTAGGATTCTTGCTAAGTCCAACAGAAACTCAAGTTGTACAAAGGATTTTTAAGTAATCATGACTTAACACTTATTTTGTAAACACATAAAAACTAGAAATAAGTTTCCTGTTGTTGGCTTAGTTAGGCTAAATAAAGTAAAACCAACTCACTGAGTGGAATATTGTTTATGTTATTAAGGCAAAATTTAAAGAATATTGAATGTGCTTTAAAAAATTCTCAGGATAAAATTAAGCAAACACTAAGTTTATAAACAAGTCTCAAAAGCGTGTATAAAATCTGGGATTATGAGGATAGATGTGGGGAATCAGATTATGATATCATGATACAGGAATGGGTGAAATTTTCATCTTTAATTTATTTGAATGTTGGTTTAATAAATTATTTAACTAATGTTTAAAATAATTATATATATTCTAAAATATTATCTAAGTGATATCTCCCTTGTACAGCTAGTAACCTTCAAGTGTATTTTGCTTAGTCTTTCACATCATTCAAATTTCATTACTTTAAAGGAGAACTACAAGTCCAATTCAGTTACCTGTGCTTTGGGTTGGCACTCGGTACTTCATTTTTGCCCTCTAGATCTGATCTACTAGTAAAGCACACTAGGCAAGAATAGTGATCTTAATCAAGTGAGTACTAGTGTCATTAGGAACCCAGGTAACTCACTGAGTTCTTCAAGTCCCAATGTTTCCCCACTTCCAAGTTTCAAGACATTTATTTAGAAGCCAAGTGTCTGGAAGGTTCATCTCTGATCTGGGAACCACCATTCCCTATATCCTCAACCTTTTGGAAAATTGTGCTTGGCAAAGGATTTCATCTTTCAGAGGCAAATCAAATCTTGAAGGGTCCATTTTATTTCTAAAATAAATAGCATTTATTTCCCCAAGGGGGAGAAAAACTGAACACTTTTTTATATCTGACACAATACAAAACAAAAACACTTCATATCTGTAACATAGATAGATCACGTCTTCTTCCTGGGTACTGTTGCAGACACAGAAAACCAGTTTCTGGAGTATTCCAGAATGATCTGTGTTTTTCATAAATTCAGTAAAGGCATACAAAAGACTGAAGCCCAGAGGTCTAAGGCCAGTCTTTTTCACAATGAAAAGCAATTTATTAATAGATCGTGGACTAATTTTTTTTAAATAGAACATGTTAAAATGTATTGCACATAATATTGATTTTTACAAACGTGGCAATTATATCGTCCTTGTGTACAGTACAGATATGGCATAAAATTTATTTATTTTTGTTGTTCTTTTAAAGACAGTATCTTGCTACTTAGTCTAGACTGGCCTTGAGCTTGGGATCCTCCTGCTTCCGTCTAGTACTGACAGTACAGATGCACTCCCTCACACGTCTTAAAATGTATTTCTTTTTGTGAGTGATAGTCAAAATGTTTCCAAAGCACTGGCTGGATATTACAGATTTAGGATTAGTGCACAAAGAGACACAACAAAGACAAACCAAGAGAACCAACAGAAATAGCAGCACATATATAACATGCAGCACATCGAAGTATCTAGAGACTGAACAAAATGGAAGGCATTTAAACTGTGGTCATCCACGGCAATAATAAAGGGATTATGGTGTTGCTTATTTGACTAAAAAGCCAATAATTTTAAAATTCTACTCTCATATTTTTCTTTATCTTGCATAATAACAAGGAGAATGGATACATTACTAAAACTTCATTATCACTTCCTCTTTGCCATATGAGGTAAGTTATGAAAAGCACAGCAGCTGAGGCAAGGGCAGTAGTTCCGTACCTTTGTAATCAAATTCCACTCCCTGGATAACAAAAAGTATTCATTAAAACCATCCTATGTCTCCTAGCTTAGCGCTCAAATCATACATCCAAGTAATTTTGCACCATTACTCCTTCTTTTCTCCTTTATTTAAAATTAAATCAGGTAATTCGTGGGAAACTCTATCCCTAAGGTGAAGATACTCAGTTCTCTACCGGTGGCTAAGAGTCCGCACACCTAGGCTTCCCCCCTCCAAAGCAGGCGAAGCTGGGCGCCCGGCCAAGAGACTTTCTGAAGACTTAGGAGGCACAGTGGGCCCCCATGGAACATCGTGTCAGCTGATCCTCCTGAACGGACAGGATTTGCCTCTATAGGGAATAAAAAGCGCAATCCCCGCGACCACCACCGCAACCACCACCACCACCATAACCACCGCGACCACCACCATACAGGGTCCCAGTGAGCCAGTGCCTAGTAGGGAAAGAGGCACAACACGTGTCTCTGTCCCGGGAGGGGGGCGTGGAGAGCTAGAGCATCGCAGACACCAAAAGCTTCTCAACCCGAGTCCACGAGCCCTACTATTTCCGTGTCCTCTGCTCTAGATAGCTGAAGGTTACGAGTTCTCGGACCCGGAGTTCGCTACCGAGGAAGGGGAAAAAATAAGATTCATGCAAAAAGCCCGAGGGGTAAATGCAAATGTCGTGCCCTTACCTCCGTGTTGGAGCAAGCTTTCTATCCCGTTCGCGAAGTACAGGCGCAGGCGGGCAAGGAGCAGTTGGCGAGAAACGAGCGGACCAGGACCCAGACCTTCTCCAGCAGGGAAGCAGCGAACTCCCGGGAGCTAGCCGCGACAGAGCCTGCAGCTCAACCGGGGTCGACCTACTTAACTAGAAAGGGCGGCCATAGACCCCGAACGGGACGCGCTGTGATTGGTTGCCTCTGGTATTGTTTCAAAGGAGACTCTTCTGTGATTGGCTAGCAGAGTCAAGCGGGAATCCGAGGTGGGAGGTGGGAGAGGGGTTTAACAAAGTTGTTACCCAGGCAACAGAGCGACTCACAGCGAGCGGCAGTCTATTTTCTGAGCCTAGGCTGTGACCGGAGCACTGACCAAGGTGAGGAAAATTGAACCTTAGGAGGGAAAAACAGAGGGGGTCCTTGAATACTGTGACAGTTGGAGAAACTAGGGAGAATTTAAAATACTTAAGGGCTCGGGGACATAGCCCTCAAAAGCCCTAAGCTGCTCAAAGTAGGGGGGAACGTTCCCGAAGTCCCGCCCTCCTTAACCCCTGAAGCAGGATGTTGCTTCTGCTTCTAGAAAAACTCCCAAAGAAGGAATCTCAGGTACTGCCCTACTGTAGGAAAGAGAAAGAACATCCAAATATTTCCCAATTTTCCTTTCTCGGGTCTCACACACCCTCAATACGTCCCCCTTTTCCGTTAAAAAAATAATTTGAGAGTGTAAAATGTTTTCTTGTAGGTAGGTCTGAGAGGTCAAAGTTGAGAGACTCACTGTATCTTCCATTTTATGTGAACAAGCCGTGTTAATTCTGTACCAGCAGGCCTTGGTTGGGAAATGGAGGAAGAGTGCGCTCTGTAAAGCCTTTCAGACAGGAAAATAAAAATAAAATGGCTCCTGCCACTTGCCTATGGAGCAATATTTTTGTGGGAGAGAATTTCAGCGGCCTGAGAGTTCTGAGGATGTTGGTTACATCCTCGAGGAGTAGAGAACAGTCTCACACACGTTTACTAGGTCAGAATATAGTGCACAAATCTTACACTTACAAAAAAGTGTACCTTAAAATTCCCGCTCCGCAACTTGAGGCTGATTAGGAGAATACTTTGTCATTTGACTATACCTTTAAAAAACACAAAACCAAACTGTGATAAAAATTGAATCCGAGGAATGAGAGAGAACCCAGTTTGAGCAAAGAGATAAGAATCATTAATTCTGAGAGTTTCCTGTTGTGGTAGGAATTCAAAACATGGACTACAGAGGTAAACAAAACTAGCTCTTCGTTCTTAGGAGAACGTTCAAAGAACTGAAAGAAAAATTGCCATTCAGCGCTCTTTTTATTTATAAGTTGAATATAAAACTAAGAAAGGATTATTGCCAAATGTGTTGTTTGCCTGAAATGTGCTATATACCACCCCACCCCCTTTGCTGTTCAGTCCAGGATCCCTTCAACTCATCATCCTTCTGCTAGCAGCTTCCCAACTGCTAGGATTTTGAACATACTACATAGTTTTTGATGGCTCAGGATGAGCCCTAAAAAATTAAAAATCTCCATCTCAGTATGAAAACTCCCTTTCAAAATAAACAAACAAATAAATAAATAAATCTCACTTTCAAGCTCATACTGGACCAGTTACTAGGGATCCTGATGTGTGAGGTTCCTCTGAACCCAGGAGCTCAAGATCAGCCTGGTTAAGGTAGGAAATCTCAAAAACAGAGCAACAGAGCACATCTTTCAAAGGATGGTAGAGACTCCATTTTTATAAATAACCTCGATAAAGTACAGACACAGGAATTATTAAATCAAATGAGGCTTATGTTTTTATCTTTAGGTAACATGCCATCTCTGAACCCTATCCCTATACCCTCTTTTTGTTTTTCATTTTGAGACAAGATCTCACTAAGTTGTCCAGGCTGGCCTTGAATTCGTAGCTCAGACTTGCCTGAACTGCCTCAGCCTTCTGAGTAGCTGTACCTCAAAGCCTGGCTTGCATTTATGTTTCTTAAAGATTCCAGGTACTTAAAAAAACACTTTCCGTTAACTATATTTTAAGTTTGTAAGAGAAAACGTGTTAAACTCCCATAGTTATGAATGTTTTATGGTAGTGAATGATAGAAATATAAATAGGAAGCTATTCTTGTGTTTTAAAGATGTAACAAGCGTATTTCCTATTGAACCAAGGACCTTTGGCATGCTTAAGAATACACGTATTGAACTACATCCCCAGTCCATAACTGAATTAACTTTTAATAGACAGAGAATTACTGATGAGTATCGTTGTCAAAAATTAGTTATGTGTGTCTGTGGGGAGGTATGTGCACAAGAGTGCAGATGATCCTGGAAGTCAGTATTAGATCTCCCAAGAACTGGAATTACAGGCAGTTTGAGCTGTCTGATGTGGGTGCTAGAAACTGAAGTAATGTCCTCTGAAGAGAGTATGGACACCTGTTTTTTTCCTTTCTTTTTCTTTTTTTTTCCTTCGATGTTTTTGAGACAGGGTTTCTCTGTGTAGCATTGGAGCCTCTCCAGGAACTCACTCTCTAGACCAGGCTGGCCTTGAACTCACAGAGATCCTCCTACCTCTGCCTCCCAAGTGCTGATCTGTGCCACCACTGCCCGGCTGAGCAGTATAGACTCTTAACCACTGAGCAATTCTACCAGCCTTCCTCACTAAGATTTTTTAAATGACAGGAATACATTAGTATGCCATAATGGAATAAGAACTTATAAGCATTCAGCCCTAGAAAGAAATCCTAAGTATGACCAAAACTAGACAAAAACAATTAGTGAGAATATTGTCATTAAATTCAGACATGAGCAGAGATGCTGTTTACTTTTACATTCTCAAAATAATTTTTCTGATAGAATTGCTAAATAAGGCATTATATGAACAAAGTTTTAGAAGAAATGCTAAACCTAAAGAATAAACAGGTTTTGAAATGGTTGAGGTCATTCGATCATCAACAGAGTTTGCCTTGGGGATAAGCTTTCACCTAGTAAGTTCAGACAGGATGCTGTTGGACTGCTGCTGCTGTTGCAACACCTGGGATGAAATTCAGGGCTTCTTCCACATTTGGTAAGCACTCTACCCTGGAGCTACACCCCCTAGGTATTTTTGTTCATTTTTTACTTCCTGACTTCATGTACTGGGTGTACTTAGTAAAATATGTTAGGACTATTCTCTATACTTGATATACTTAGTAAAACACGTATACTGGACTAACTTACCCCTCACTTTTCTCCAAGTAGTTGATTAGTCATTCTTACTGAGGCTATGTATGGAGACCAAAAACAAATTAATAAATTAGAAAGAGTGGTGATAATGCCTCAGTGTCAGATCTTGAGCCTTCTTGATAGACATTTTTAGCCCCTAACTCGTCCCAGTGTTTTGGTTCCAGCTGGTTCTGAACTAGCTGTTGTTTTAATTGTTTAGCAAGATATCCCCCAACTGCATTTTTATCTCTTAAGGCTCTAAAGGCTCGGATTGATGTAGCAAAATCAAAGCTCTGTCTGGAAACACTGCTTTTGATATTGGCTGGTCAAAACAGACCAGGGAGTGGAAGAAAGAAAAAAAAACAGGCCTAGAACATTTATTTTCTAAGTGGCCACGCCTTAAGAAAAAGATTCTTTGCTCTTTCTCATGCTCTAGTCCCCCTTTGCTGAGAATCAAGCCCAAGACCTCATATAGGATTTTTAGGCAGGTACTTTATTGACAGCCCCTATCCTAATCTCAGCCTATTTAAAGTATGCCTGTCAGCATTCAGGCAAGGATGGAGGAAGGACTAGGGAGCCCCAGTTCTCACTGCTGAACTATTTCCTACTGATGATTCAAGTAGGGTAACTACATTGTTTTTGTGTACTCACTGATGACCCTACCAACTCCAATGGGAATTTCAAATTCTGTGGTCACACAGATGGCCCTGGTTAAATGAAATGTCTATCAAAATAAAATCCCCAAATTGTTAATCTGGGGAAGGAACTCATAGGAGCGTGAGATAAGTGAAGGTGTTGAAGAGAAAGGAATCAGAATTCATCATGTAATTGTACATACGAAATTGTTCCCAAGACTGAATAAAAGAAGTGTAAATGCTGCATTGAAACATAGGCCCAATAGCTCTAGAAAGTTTTTCTTACAAAATATCACCACACTAGTCTGCCCAAGCAGTTCAGTAATTAGAAGAATGTACTCTACGATTCAAAGGCAGCAAGTTGCAGCGTATCTTCTTAACAGAATGTAGAACATATATAGGAGAAAAATGTGTGAGAAGGGCAGAAAATGTGGCCGCCAGGGCTATATCCTGAAATCAGTGGTTGCCAGAGTCGAGACTGCATATCTAACTGACAAAGAACTGAAAAGACATGCTTTCTTTGTCTTTAAAAAAAAGATGATTGTATGAAATGAGCTTTGATAACTATCTTTTAATTTAATCCTATTTCTGACTCACTAGACTACTAAAATGTTGGTAGAAATTTCATTTTCATTGGATCTGCAACTTTTTCAGTAATTCACACAATTGATTTCTTTGGTGATATTTTGAGCTATTTAATTATTCACAAAATATTTGTGATTCTTTTGTTTCTCAAACTGTATAATCAGATTTATCAGAACTTATCATTTGCTTGCAGACTGTTATTACATTTGGTATAGTGAAATATTATTTTTATAAAAGTGCCCATTTTATCTTATTTGGGCTCCAATTAGCTATAATATGACTCACTGTGATTTTATGTCAGCATAATTTGGAAGTCCAATTCCCAATATGCTTCAGGTATATCAAATATTACTGAGAGTTCTTGTGGAAGATTTTTAAACTCAGATCTATACCCCAAGATGTGGTATTCCCCTTTAGTGAGTCACATTGAGGAGCTAATATACTTATTCATATGATCTTCCTGTTACTCAAAATTACATTTAAGACTAGTATTTTTAGAACTGCCCTGGGGCCTATATCAAATTCTTTTTAATACTCTCAAAGAAGGAAATCTTCATATTTTGAATGTAGATGTCTAGATATATTTGTAAATTACTTAGAAAAAATCTGATGTGTAATCAAACTGAATGATGCTGTAATGATATTTATTTTCTTAGTGATACATATGGAGGAAATACCAAGAGAAAAGAAAATTTCTAAAATATTTGGAGCATTGATGATATCATTTACATCAGTATATAACCTTCCAAGGTTACTATTTTGAAATGCCACATTCTTGTGAATTTAATCATATTTCATTCAGTATTCATCAACTGCGGACTAAATTCCAGCTGTGGTTTATGAAGATGTTCTTTCTATATGTATAGCTTCCCTGTGCCCTCACTGCCTGCTTCCCACCCAAGAGCCAGTCAGGGCCTTCCCATGTAACTGGTAGAAATTTAGAATTAATTTATTTTTCCTCTGTCCTGTCTCCAATACACTTTCTGAGCCATAATCTTCCTTTATCACCTCCACTGTGGCTGATGTATGACAGAAAGCCACTAAGGCAGGACCTGGCTTGTGTATCGTTTTTCCTCTGGAATTTTGATCCCAGCCCTATTCTGAATATTCATCTAGTTTCCAAACTCCTGACATTTCTCAATAACTAGACCCTTACTTGTATACTTCTACCTGTGACCTGGGGGTCCTCCATCGCTCTAAATACCTCTCTTCATCCAGAAAGTCCTGCTGTCGTGTCCCTGCCAGAGAGAGATGACTATGTGAGTAACTGTTGCTACTGCGACGTCAGATGCTATATTTGGAACTTCTGAATACCTTTCTTACGGCTTAGCTTCCTGGTCTGTTTACTCTTCTCTCCCTAGCCCCCTATTGAATTCTCAGAAGCCTCATGATCATACAAGTATCTGTGGATACTATATTTCAGATAATGATGTTATATAACATTCATATTTAAGCAACAGCTGTCATCGGTGTTGAATAATTGACCATGTATTGTAAAGTTTATAGAGTAATGCTGATGTAAGAAACAATTTCTGATATATTTGTTTTGTGAATATATTGTTTCGTGCATTTCAAGTCAGGATACTAATTATATCTGATATCTGGGTGGCTTTTTCCTTTTCACTGTCAAAGAGAAAATATTTCAATAAACATTTTGCTTTCTATGTTGGCTAAATATTTAATGAACACATAATCAAAGAGGAAATATATTTAAAATATAAACAGAAGTCCCTTTTGTTTAATTTAATATGTGCCAATTATTCATTCCCGTGGCCGCCTACAAGACCATACTACAAGAGAAATTGTTTTGTCACTTTTTATTTCACCTTTTCTGATTTAATGAGTTTTCAGTGTAATGAGATTTATCATTGTCTTATTTGACATCGCTATTAAAAGTGATATTCATGCCCAGCAAAATGAAACTTATAAAGAACTAATAATAGGCAACATAGCTTGAATGCTTACTATATGCCCTGTACTAGTCCAGGCTCTTTTATATGTATTAAGCTACTTAATACTTATAGCAATTCAATGAGACAGACACTACTATTATCCTCTACTTTACAGATAAAGAAAATTAGGCGGAAAGAATTTAAATAATTGCTCAAAACCACAGAGCTAAGAAGTACATGATGGATCCAATTCCAAACAGCATGACCTCAGCCCCCTTATTCTTAGCCAGTATTCTATTTTGTCTCCATATTAGAGATATAGAGGAAGTTACCATTTCATACCCTTGACATCCCCAGGAGGCATCAAGGTCAGTTGTATAAAAAGTAAAAATGTTTGTAAAACGACACTTTAAAAAATACCATCTTTACTACTTTGACAAGTGAGTATATCAGATGATTTACTACCATTCTAGTCACAATGCAAATTTTTCATGTATAATTTAATTAACACTGCTAGAGAAATGTTCCTGAGAGTGAAGTTTAGAAAATGATGTTTATAAAATATCTGTAAAATTGTGGGAAAGATACCTATTTTAGTTATGCCCAATTTACCAACAATAAGCACAACTCTGCCATCCTTTTTGGATTACTCATTAAAGTCTGACACTTCTGAGATATATTTTTAAGATCTTAACTGTCCTGCTGTGGTTGTAACTGCAGGGATTATTTTTCAGATTGCTACTAGGATGATAGGATTCAGTGTTACTGTTATAATAAAAAAATTGTTTCTTTGTTTATGAATCTCACTAAAATGAGCCAATGCATTAGAGTTTTCAAATGTCATTATAAGGCTGGGTTTCATCAAAGGTTAATTAACAGTATAAATGAAGCAGAAAGGTACACACTTACCTGGGGCAAATATGAGAAATGAGTAAAGGTTATTTGGATATATTCCCGAAGAAAAATCTTTTTCAGTTCACAAATTGGAATATACACCCTAAACAGCAGATATGAAACAGGTTAAAAAAAAGATAGTCTAAAAACATAGCTTATAACAACTTATGATTTTAATCAAGCCCCCAAGGGATTCTTTTTCTATTTTTGTAATGCTGGGGATTGAATCCAGGCTTTGAGCATAGTAGACAAGCATTTTACAGTTGAGCAGTCTGTGAAGCTTTTCCCGTAGTGGCGCTTAAGCACACTAGAGCCCCAGAATTACTTACGTAGTTACTCAGTGTGTGCTCGTTAGAGTGAACATAAAGCAGACTGAAAGCGTGGATTTACTTTGCTGCCCAGGTTCTGTGACTTTAACATACGTGGAAGAGTTTATAGTAATTTCAAATATGACATAGACAGTGTAAGAAGGGAAACATGAGAATGAACAAATCTTTATGTCCCAGAAAACTGAGGTGTGCCTGGTCATCTTTTCCCCTTAGAATATGGAATCAGAAAACACAGAAGCTGAAAACATGGAAACAGAAAATTTGGAAGCAAAAGGCATGGAAGCTAAAACTATGAAGATTAAGACATTGCCTTCTGTCTCAGACCTACAAGCACTTTCCAGTCTACTGTATCCTGAGGAAGAGGATGATTTGGATGCTGGGCAGGTTGTCATATACTTAAAGATAAATGAATTATGTTAAAGGGAATTGTGGAACTGTTTTTGAACAATTCATTCCCACCTTGCTGTGGGAGCAGAGCTGTGTCACCTGATACACGCATAGGAGGCTGAAGGCTTATTATGCATGAGACTATAACCTCTAGTACATTTCTAGCAAACATAATTATATTTTTCTACACCACCTGAACACTGAATAGGAAAATAGTTCTGTAACTATGGTAGCAGTAGCCACATTTCAAAATGTTTGTCATTTATATTTATGGTCAAAGAATGCTTGACAACCATTGCAAAGAGCCATAGCTGGGACTGTTTATGCCTAGACAATATTTCTACAAAGAAAATATTTTCAATTATGCAGTATTAATTGATCTCTCAATCCCAGTCTCTTAATATTTTTTTAAAAAGGCTACATATGAAAACAACAAAATACTTTAAGCCAAATAATAGGGGAAAAAGCTTCCATCTACTAACAAGGGTTTTCTACCACATGCTTATAGAATCAGGTGATTCTTATTTGGGGGTCTGGACAGGTAGCACCTTTAAACCTTGGAGCAGCAAGTTGGACTTCATTTAGGATAGAAGAATTACCAGTCGAAGGCCACTGCGATTTTTTCCTGGATAACCAAGGTGAGGAGACATGGAGTTTTAGAGAAAAGCTGTGGTAGAGGCAAACAAACCAAAACCAAGTCATCGATAGTAGCATTAAATACACACAACAAATAAGACACAAGGAAAAAAGTTAGGTGCGATTTATCACGAAGTTGCATACATTTTTATTTATTTATTTATTAAAGAATTCTGTCTCTTCCCCGCCACCGCCTCCCATTTTCCTCCCCCTCCCCGAATCAAGTCCCCCTCCCTCGTCAGCCCAAAGAGCCATCAGGGTTCCCTGATCTGTGGGAAGTCCAAGGACCACCCACCTCCATCCAGGTCTAGGAAGGTGAGCATCCAAACTGCCTAGGCTCCCCCCTAGTGCAGTAGGATCAAAAAACCCAGTGCCATTGTTCTTGAGTTCTCAGTAGTCCTCATTGTCCGCTATGTTCAGCAAGTCTGGTTTTATCCCATGATTTTTCAGACCCAGGCCAGCTGGCCTTGGTGAGTTCCCCATAGAACATCCCCATTGTCTCAGTGTGTGGGTGTACCCATCGCGGTCCTGAGTTCCTTGCTCGTGCTCTCTCTCTCCTTCTGCTCCTGATTTGGACCTTGAGATTTCAGTCCGGTGCTCCAATGTGGGTCTCTGTCTCTGTCTCTGTCTCCTTTTCTCACCTGATGAAGGTTAATATTCAGGAGGATGCCTATATGTTTTTCTTTGGGTTCACCTTCTTATTTAGCTTCTCTAGGATCACTAATTATAGGCTCTATGTCCTTTATTTATGGTTAGAAACCAAATATGAGTGAGTACATCCCATGTTCCTCTTTTTGGGTCTGGCTTACCTCACTCAGGATAGTGTTTTCTATTTCCATCCATTTGCATGCAAAATTCAAGAAGTCATTGTTTTTTACTGCTGAGTAGTATTCTAATATGTATAAATTCCATACTTTCTTCATCCATTCTTCCATTGAAGGGCATCTAGGTTGTTTCCAGGTTCTGGCTATTACAAACAATGCTGCTATGAACAGAGTTGAGCATATACTTTTGTTGTATGATAGGGCATGTCTTGGGTATATTCCCAAGAGTGGTATTGCTAGGTCCAGGGGTAGGTTGATCCCGAATTTCCTGAGAAACCGCCACACTGCTTTCCAAAGTGGTTGCACAAGTTTGCATTCCCACCAGCAATGGATGAGTGTACCCTTTTCTCCACAACCTCTCCAGCAAAGGCTATCATTGGTGTTTTTGATTTTAGCCATTCTGACAGGTGTAAGATGTTATCTTATAGTTGTCTTGATTTGCATTTCCCTGATCGCTAAGGAAGTTGAGAATGACCTTAAGTGTCTTTTGGCCATTTGAACTTCTTCTGTTGAGAATTCTCTGCTCAGCTCAGTGCCCCATTTTTAATTGGGTTGATTAGCCTTTTACGGTCTAGTTTTTTGAGTTCTTTATATATTTTGGAGATCAGACCTTTGTCAGTTGCGGGGTTGGTGAAGATCTTCTCCCAGTCAGTGGGTTGCCTTTTTGTCTTAGTGACAGTGTCCTTTGCTTTACAGAAGCTTCTCAGTCTCAGGAGGTCCCATTTATTCAATGAGGCCCTTAATGTTTGTGCTGCTGGGGTTATACGTAGGAAGTGGTCTCCTGTGCCCATGTGTTGTAGAGTACTTCCCACTTTCTCTTCTATCAGGTTCAGTGTGTTCGGACTGATATTGAGGTCTTTAATCCATTTGGACTTGAGTTTTGTGCATGGTGATAGATATTGGTCTATTTTCATTCTTCTACAGATTGACATCCAGTTTTGCCAGCACAATTAGTTGAAGATGCTCTCTTTTTTCCATTGTATACTTTCAGCTCCTTTATCGAAAATCAGGTGTTCATAGGTTTGTGGGTTAAAGTCAGGGTCTTCTATTCGATTCCATTGGTCGACTTCTCTGTTTTTATGCCAATGCCAAGCTGTTTTCAATACTGTAGCTCTGTAATAGAGTTTGAAGTCAGGGATGGTAATGCCTCCAGACAATCCTTTATTGTATAAGATTGTTTTGGCAATCCTGGATTTTTTGTTTTTCCATATAAAGTTGATTATTGTCCTCTCCAGATCTGTGAAGAATTTTGATGGGATTTTGATGGGGATTGCATTGAATCTATAGATTGCTTTTGGTAGAATTGCCATTTTTACTATGTTGATCCTCCCAATCCAAGAGCAAGGGAGATCCTTCCATTTTCTGGTGTCCTCTTCAGTTTCTTTCTTCAAAGACTTAAAGTTCTTGTCAAATAGATCTTTCACTTCCTTGGTTAGAGTTACCCCAAGATATTTTATGCTATTTGTGGCTATCGTGAAAGGTGATGCTTCTCTGATTTCCCTCTCTGTTTCCTTATCCTTAGTATATAGGAAGGCAACTGATTTTTTGGAGTTGATCTTGTATCCTGCCACATTACTAAAGGTGTTTATCAGCTGTAGGAGTTCTTTGGTAGAGTTTTTGTGGTCGCTTATGTATACTATCATATTATCTGCAAGTAACGAAAGCTTAACTTCTTCCTTTCCAATTTGAATCCCCTTGATCCCCTTATGTTGTCTTATTGCTATCACTAAAACTTCAAGCACTATATTGAAGAGGTATGGAGAGAGTGGACAGCTAAAAGAAATGGACACTTTCTTAGATAAATACCATATACCAAAGTTAAACCAGGACCAGGTGAACAATCTAAATAGACCTGTTTGTTGCGAAGAACTAGAAACTGTTATCAAAAATCTCCCTTCCAAAAAAAGCCCAGGACCAGATGGTTTCAATGCAGAATTCTACCAGAACTTCCAAGAAGAGCTAATACCTATACTCCTTAATGTATTTCACAATATAAAAACAGAAGAGTCATTGCCAAACTCCTTTTATGAAGCTACAGTTACCCTGATACCAAAAACACACAAAGACCCAACCAAGAAAGAGAATTACAGGCCTATCTCACTCATAAATATCGACTCAAAATTTCTCAATAAAATACTGGCAAACCGAATCCAAGAACACATTAGAAAAATTATCCATTATGATCAAGTAGGCTTCATCCCAGAGATGCAAGGCTGGTTCAACATACGCAAATCTATCAATGTAATCCACCATATAAATAAACTGAAAGAAAAAAGATATGATCATTTCATTAGATGCTGAAAAAGCATTCGACAAAATTCAATACCCCTTTATGATAAAGGTCTTGGAGAGATTAGGGATACAAGGGTCATACCTAAATATAATAAAAGCTATTTACAGCAAGCCGACAGCTAACATCAAATTAAATGGAGAAAAACTCAAAGCCATCCCACTAAAATCAGGAACACGACAAGGATGTCCACTCTCTCCATACCTCTTCAATATAGTGCTTGAAGTTCTAGCAATAGCAATAAGACAACATAAGGGATCAAGGGGATTCGTATTGGAAAGTTGCATACATTTTGCTCCCTAAGATGAAATAGCAAAATGCTAACTTTCTGAGGGTACATCCTGGGAAAGGCAGGCTCATACGATATAGAAAGAGAAGGTTAACTTTTGGAAGACAGAAGCCCTGAGAAGCCCTGAATATTGGTAAGCAGACTCATGATTGGAACTGATGCAGAGGTAAAGATCAGCACTGGTTACAAACCCCCTTCCCTTTGGTGTTTATGGGTAGCAATGTTTATTTGCATCTAGGGGTTTTTGTAGGAGGAAAGATGATTGTTTATGAAAATAGAGAGACTGTAACATCATGTTACTGAATTGTACAATTCATAATAGAAAATGCTATAATAATATATGATTGTGTATATGTGGGTTATAAGCAATTTTGAGATAATTGGTCACTCAGACATCTTGGTACAGATAGCATTAGAGGGAATAGAATTAGAGATTCAGTATGGTGGAAGAATAATTAATGTTCCTACTGAACTATTAAATTTTCCTATGGAGAAAATGCCTTTCATTTTTAACATGTATTAATCCTGAGAACTAGGAAATGATTGCAAGAGTGATGTGTTTTCTAAAATCGACTCTCTGGAAAACAGCAAGAAAGCTGTTGCATACACATTGCTTCATTTGCACCCATCCCTCTTCTAAATGAGTTGTTAATTCCGTGGGAGATTGCGAAGAGTTGTCCTTCAAACTCCCGGGTGATCTCAAGACTTATGGGAAAATAAGATTCCACCGATCTTCAGACACTGTGACAAGGATATTTAAAATCTCTCCAATATTACAAAGTGACATGAATTGGACTGAGAAATTGCTCAGATAATTGGCTGAAGATACATGGTACAGGCTTAAACAGTGCCCTTATAGAAAACAATTACCAGGTGGTATTTTATTATTTCATTCTACCTTCTCACTTGAAATTTTATTTTTAACCATTTATTTTCATTAAGTTAATAAATTGAGACTCCCCCCTGCTCTAGTATACTCATCCAATCATAACTGTCCAGGAAGAGCATATCAGTTTTTGCCAGAATGGTCACAGTTTCATTTCTACTGATTTAAATTTTCTGTGGAAAGAGGCACTGCAAAACAAGAAGCCCTTATGTTTTAAGAATTGTTTTGCTCTGATTGACTATTAATATTCTGATGATTAATAATCTAATAAAAGTACCACACATTTTTGTGACCTTAGTGATAAAACAGAGGGAAAAAATAGGTCCAGAATGCTATTGGGATTTTCACATAAAAATATCTGCAGTTCCTTAACTTCACACAGAGTTTTAGATAACCATTTCCAAAAACAGTAGTGACAGTCTCGCACACTGTTGAGATTTTACAAATTAACTTACCACTTATAACTGTTTGGATAGTTTAACATAATAGAGACCTAGATGAGCTTTTTCAACAACATACAAGGGCAGCCATTACTACTCTCCCCCAAACAGGACTTTGCAGTTTTGTCCGTGTCTAAAGTCTTGGACTATGAGGGCAAGAATTAAAAGGGGGACTTTGAAGTGCTAGTATACCAGAACCCATAGAAATAAGGATATTTTGACAGTCATTAATGGAGTGAATCAGAACTTCAGAGTCTGAGATTAGAATGAACAATTAGGAAGATACTTGAGATTGTCTTGAAATATCAAAGACCCGCTGGAAGGGGCCAATGAGGTGATGGAGTAAATATGTGTTGCACTGGGCTGGAAAGAGTGAAGAGAGTTCTTCAAGGGTGGGCACACACACACACACACACACACACACACAAACATAAGAAAGATGGCAAAAGAAGCAAATGGCTGTATGAAAAAAGAAGTGATTTGGCCTTCATCTGACACTATAAGCTGGAGGTTGCTGAATTAGGAAGTGGGAAAAGGAGCAATGTTTCACCCCGAAAGCAGAAAGAGAGAAGAACTGTTATTAGGACTTCTAAATGAATCCTTTGATGTCTAGATCTTAGCTTCTGTTTACTCTTATTTGAATAGCATGCACCCATAAGTCTGTCTTTCATCTAACTCTAACCAAACACTGCTCAAACTCCAAAGAGCTGATGCTTTTCTGCTACCATTCGGTTCTAACCTTCATAGAGATGAATGTGGCTCATTCTTTCTCTCCCAAGGGGGATAAGATTCACTGGGCTGGAACCAGGGATTTAGTTCGACCAAAAAAATCAATTCAGCCTCAGAGTCTATTAAATCAAATACTTTTTTTTTGAAAGGACAAGAAAAGCACATTGAAGGTAATAATTGGCACCTGTGTCTTTGTTGTATAACAATAGTGAATGATTAAAGTGGAACAGTTTATGGGGGTTGTGTTTTTTAGATAGAAAACATCAGATTTAAATTATTGGTAGCGATATATGCTGTACACAAGTAGTGGACTTCTTTTTTTCTACCCAAGGAACAACTCTCACCTGCTATTGGAGCCATGAGCCCTGGGAATATTGGGCCACCTAAAGCCAAAGAGCCTAAAAGTAAGTTATTTAGTAAAGTAAGATAGATCGATCAAATCAATGGAGTATTTTCCTCAGATTAATAAAAACTAATATTTAATAAAATGAAGTAAATGGCATTATATAAGATACTTTAGATTGCTATGAAGGTGCATCTTAAGGGTTTTCACTACAAATGATGGATATGTGAAGTAATGCATATATATCTTGATTCAGTCATTCCATCATGTATGTATATGTCAAAACAGTATGTTGCACATGACAACAAATTAATTTTTAATTTCTCAATTCAATACAAGCATGCAATTTCTAAAAGATAAAGAGGTGAGTTGAACCGGACAATGATGGTACGCACCTTTACTTATTTATTTTTTCATTTTTTTTTATTATTGAGAAAAGGAAGAAAATAAAAACAAGTTTCCACCTCCTCCCAGCCTCCCATTTCCCTCCCCTTCCTCCCACCCTTCTCCCCTTCCTCCCATCCTTCTCCCCCTCCTCCCACTCCTCTCCCCCTCCCTCTCCAGTCCAAAAAGCAGTCAGGGTTCCCTGCCCTGTGGTAAGTCCTAGGTCCTCCCCCCTCTGTCCATATCTAGGAAGGTGAACATCCAAACTGGCTAGGCTCCCACAAAGCCAGCACATTAAGTAGGATCAAAACCCCGTGCCATTGTCCTTGGCTTCTCATCAGCCCTCATTGTTCGCCATGTTCAGAGTCCGGTTTTATCCCATGCTTTTTCAGTCACAGTCCAGCTGGCCTTGGTGAGCTCCCAGTAGATCAGCTCCACTGTCTCAATGGGTGGGTGCACCCCTTGTGGTCCCGACTTCTTTGCTCATGTTCTCCCTCCTTCTGCTCCTCATTGGGACCTTGGGAGCTCAGTCCAGTGCTCCAGTGTGGGTCTCTGTCTCTTTCTCCATCCATCACCAGATGAAGGTTCTATGATGATATGCAAGATATTCGTCAGTATCGCTATAGGCTAGGGTCATTTCCAGTTCCCTATCCTCAGCTGGCACGCACCTTTAATCCCAGCACTCAGGAGGCAGAGGCAGGCAGATCTCTCTGAGTTTGAGGCCAGCCTGGTCTACAGAGTGAGTTCCCAGGCAGCCAGGGTTGTTAAACAAAGAAATCCTGTCTACAAAAACAAAAACAAAAGAAGGTAAGTTGAAGCAATCATGCACATGCTGAACAGCCATTTCCATGCAAAGATGTCATTTTTACTTCTGTGCCAGGTTAGTGCTTTTCTAATAAGCAGAGTTAATTTGCCTTCAACTAGCTACATTCCTTGGTGCATTTTCTGAGATAAAAGACTGAGTAAATCATATATGATTAGGCTTAATTTTAGGCACATTGCTCTTCTTCGGTTGCAAGAATAGAAATATCAAGACCTACATTTTTAATTTTTCACACTTGTATAGTGTAGCAATTTCACAAAATCCATTTATTAAAACAAGTTCAAAAGTATTTATTGAATATTTAAATACATTGAGAGTCAAATATATACCAGGCAATATAAAAATCTTTGAGACTACAAAGGAAATCAGGAGGGGAGCAGAGAAAAATGTAGAGCTCAAAAAAAAATCAATAAAAAAAAGAGAATTCTGAAGAAGAAAATAAAACAAACAGCTACATAATTTTACCTTACATTGAAATGCTTCTAAAGTTCATGGTGTTCCTTAAAAAAAAAATCACTGACCCAGGGGCTAGGATTGTAGTTCAGTGTTAGATACTCACCTAAGACAATAAACAAACCACAGTTTAAAAAATAAGAAGTCTGTTTTTTTGTGACAGCCAAGCATTTTGTTTATACATTTTCCCAGAATTGAATATTGTACAAGTCTTTGAAAATGTAAAATCGTTAGTTCTGCTGCTCCTGGCCAGAGTTACCAGAGGATGAGCAGAAAGGAGAACACTGTGTTCATCAAATTAACTGACTTTACAGACAGTGTGTAGAATGCTTAAAATAATGGATAAAATGAGGTCTGAGGGTGGTTTTAAAATTTTAGTTAATATTACTGTATGTACTCAAGAGGCTCTTTGCTCTACCTCAGAGATATTTGCCTTCTGACAGACTAGTTCATATCTGCATGGATTTCCATGCTGCCATTTTCCCAATAAATGTAGGTCTAATAATCTCAAAAATTGGAGGGCAATGAGTCATATGTAAAATGTTATGTATAAGCCTGCACTTAGGTTTTGGAATGCTCACGCTGGATAGAAGCAGATGATTTGCAAAGAACTGTGGAATGGAAAACCTGACAATCAGGTGCATTTCTGGGAAAGCTTAAAAGGCTGAGAGTAATGTTTTGAGCCTAATGTGGGTCTCCATTTGATGTGCCAATGGAACAAATTCAACCCGGGCTTTTGCATGCTTACTGGAGCCTACATGCTTTTAAACATTTAAAGATTATACATGGAAAGCCAAGCACCTGCTCAGCTCTGCATAAAGGACAAGGGATAGAAAAGTTCCTTAAAGTGAGCATGCACAGTAGGAGAATACTGCATTGAAAAGTAATCACTCCAACCATTGTTTTCCATTTCTTTGATTGACATGACTTTTTTTTAAAAAAAAATGTGTAACGCATACACAGAAAATGTGCCAAAGGATTTTTATAGTAAAACTCAGTTAAAGATGATATAAGTCTATCCAAATTGGATTGCTTGTGCCTCAATTTTTCCTTTATGTAAAGATTTTACACAAGAACCTATTTGGGTTTCTGAAAAATATGTATACCACCAGGTTAACTACACTGATTATCTCCAGGCTACTGAGTTGGAGGCTATTGTATTTTCTTCCTTTTGTTTATATGTTTTTTCTACAGTTATTGTTACATTTATATAATATTTTGGTCTATAGTGATATTAAATGTAATTTATATCAACAAATAATGGCTTCAGTTATGTCTCTCCTTTCTTCACAGCCGTCCCTAAATCCAGTGGTACTGAAAGTGAGAATATCTGGAATCCAGACGAAGTTCCGGAAGGAGCAGAGCATGATGATATATGGGATGTTCGAGAAATCCCAGAGTAAGTCAAATGAGACCAGGAATGTGTTTAGATACTTAGGTTCGATGTGTCATCTGATAATATTATAATTTAATAAAATTCATGAATTTTCCACCACATAAAAGATAAAACCACAAGGCTATACAAAGAGTATGAACAACTGGTTATTTTTTTCTGTTCTAGAACAAAAACAAATAATGAAACTCAATGCCTTCCTATTAGTTATCTAGCATTAGTGAAAAATATAGCCATTTCCATTATTAAATTTATATTCAATTTCTTTTTTGTTTAATGTGAGAGTAAGCAGCCCATTAAATTATAAACGCATACAGCCACATTACAATACCATGTTTGTGTGTCAAAGACCTACTTTCAATTACTCAGAGTGTTCTGTAGTTTCAGTACAAGTCTATGACTTCCCTTCAATTATCAATTATCATGTAGGACTTACTATATATTTCAGGGCTATGCTCATTGGTCAGTATATTAAATATTTACATACATAGATAAAAGTCATGGTTAAATAGACTTTTAAACACTTGTATACATTTATATCTTTTACATTTACATTAAAATCATGAGTATTTAAAGTACATAGGAATATAAAGCAAGCATTGCTGAATCATACTGTACTTTGTTAGTTTTAAGCTTTTGTTTTGTTTTGTAATGGGCCAGGCTCTACTGCCTAAGCTGGCCTCGAACTTGGGATCTTTCCTCCACCTTCAAATGTGCTTCTTCATGTCTGGTCTACTTTATTCTGAAAGACTTTTAAGGCAAGTGATCTGACAAACTTTTTAAGTCTGACTACAAAACTGGTATATATTTTTTATTATGCTTTTATGTTTTAAAAATAAAAGCAGTGGTCGATCACAGATAATTAACTGAAAGGAAGGATACAGATTTTTATAAGTAATGTCAAAGACCTGTAAGTTTTATATTTTCAAAAAATCAAAGATTTCAAACATTTTTGTGACTTTTTTTCAAGGTCCATGTTCTAGTTAGGGTTACTGTCATTGTGAGGAAACAGCATGAACGAAGCATCTTGTGGAGGAAAGGATTTATTCAGCTTATACTTCAGCATTTCTGTTTATGACTGAAAGAAGTCAGGACAGGACTCTCACGGGGCAGGAACCTGGAGGCAGGAGCGGATGCAGAAACCATGGAGGGGTGCTGCTTACTGGCTTGCTCAGTCTACTTTCTTATACCACCCAGGACCAACAAGCCCAGGAGTGACCCAACCCACAATGGGCTGGACCCTCCCCCATCACTAACCACTAAATAAGAAGATGCCCTACAGGCTCGCCTATGACCTGATCTTTTGGAGACATTTCTCAGTTTTGACTCTTCCCTTCCCAGTGGCTCTAGCTTGTGTTAAGTTGACATAAAACTAGCCACCTCAGTCCATTGAGTAGCTAAGCCTATGTCAGATACATCTCTAGTAGATAGTCTTTAAGAGCTGTTTATAAAGGCATCTGAAAATTTACAGATAATCTGAACATCTTACATCATAAATGTTTGGCAGAATTATCCATCTCTGTGTTTTTAGTTTAAAATAAAAATAAAATAGTTTGGGTACAATGCATTTTAAATGAGTTAATTAATTGCTACAAAGATAAACACGTGGCTCAAAAGGAATAGTAAAAAAAATGTCAAACTTTTTATCCTGCTTTGGCTACCTCATTTCTAGTTTTTCAATCAACAAAAGTTTATGTCTTGCAAAAAACCTCCATATAGGGTACCTATATTTTAAATCCATTTTTATAATTGAAATAGATTTTTTCATATAATATATTTTGATTAGTTTCTCTTCATTTTATTCCTCCCAGTTCCTCTCCACCTTTCCTCTCATCAATATCCACCCTCTTTTTCTCTCTCATTAGAAACAAAACATGCTTCTAAAGGATAATAATAATATAATAAAATATATAATAAGATTTTTTAATAATACAATGCACTGTAATAGTACAAAACAAGCAGAAAAGATTCTAAGAAAAGGTACATGAAACAAATATAGACTCAGACACCCACTTGTTGACACACTTAGGAATCCCACAAAAACACAAAGCTGGAAGCCATATTATATACACTAAGGACATGTAGGGTAAAAATGAGAAAAAAAAGTTAAAAATAAAAAAGATGAAATTAAAAGAAAAGAAAAAGCCCCAATAGGATACTTTGAGACAAAGAACCTTCAGAGATGTCATTTTCTGCTGGGCAGGCGGCACATCTCTATGCCTGTATGAATAAAGTAACCCTCAGGTTTTATGACCCCCACATATCTATATGAAAGTCACTCATTTGTCATATTATAGGACGAGCACCTCACATCCATATGCAGCGAGCTCAAAACTAGAGTAAATGTCCGCTTTTCATCTAGACATTTGAAGTTCTCCAGAGAGCATCTGCCAAGGTTCAAAGTGAGTAATAACTCCAGTCATGACATGAAGAAAACTGCTTTATAAGAATTTTTATCTGGATTTTTTTCACCTTATGTAAATACACTTCAAAAGTGTCCTAATGGGTAAAGAGGAAAATGGATAATGAACACAAAGTTCACAAAAGAGGAATTGCAGTGACCAAATGGAAAATAACAAGGGCCTAAGCTGAGTCACTGGCTTGGGGGTAGGAATTCAAGAGTCATTACTTCAGGGAGTTTGTAGGAAGATTTAACAATTGACTAGATATGAAGGATGGGAAGAAAGCATCAAAGAGGAGGCTGAGTTTATTATTTAGGATTATAAATGAGGAAGACATCTCATCTATATGGTGTTGGTGCCTTGGGGACTTCAAAGAAAGCCTATATAGTATGAGATAGGAAAATTGTACCCTTTCTTTGCTTAAATAAATGCGGAAGCTTGAGAAATTTCATATGGGAAGTCATGTACATGCAGGTCAGTTCCTTCTGTCTTGTTTTAACACGGATTCATCTTTGTAAATACTTGGTAGACATTACAGCTTATTAAGAAAAAGGTTTTCTATATCAAACAATGACCTATTGATAGTCCCATTCAAACTCAGAGAAATTTCTTTTTCATTCTTGTACTTTCTTATTTACACGTTGTCAGAAATTCAACAGTCTTTTATCCTTCTAATCTTCAGTGGCATTATTTCTCTGGGTATAATTAAAGATCAAAATAATTTATATATCTGAGAGTGTGGGTCCTTGGTAGAACACTTTCTAGCATGTGTGTATGAGGCCCTCATTTAGATTCCAAGCACTGAAAGAAGAAAGGGCGAGGAAGAGGAGAATGAAAGAGGTGGAAGGGAAGAAAGATAAGAAAAGAGAAAAAGAGGGGAAAGGGGGAGAAGGATGAAAAAGAAAAAATTGTAAATCATTGTTTAGTTTTATCAGAATGGATAGGGTACCTCAAAGGAAATATTTCTGAAGTGTGTGTGTGTGTGTGTGTGTGTGTGTGTGTGAGAGAGAGAGAGAGAGAGAGAGAACGAGAGAGAGAGAGAGAGAGAGAGAGAGAGGAGAGAGACATGAGGAAAACCTTTCATGTTTTCATCAAAACCCCATACAGTCTAGCTATGACAAGTATACTACTACTGTTTCTGCAGTAGAACTTTAGAAGTGCAAGTGACCATCGAGATCAGGTAATTCTGTCTCTCCCATAAATCATTCAAATGTAGAAGTCAAGATGCTGTGCCTTTGTAATGTCACCAAGGTCACACAGTTGATGACAGACAGTAGGACTGAATCTAGATTATCTTCACTTTGTGGTTCACGTTCAGTAAAGGATGTGTTTTTATCTATCCATCAATCCCATGGGTATGGGTCCAGTATTTTCTGAGCCACTGTATTCAAGGGATGATTCTTTTTTTACTTGTAATTTTATTGGGCCTGTACCAGAAGTTCCTTCAACTCACTGATTTGTCATAGATCTGAAACAGGTAAGCTTTATTTTAGAAAACAGTATGTCCAAAGTCTCAGTCCTGCTCCAGTGTTTACATTTTGACTGCATTGCTAGACTTCTATTCCTTTGTATTCTAGTACATATTTGAAAACTAGTGAGCACTTTAGGAATGTTAGTAATTTCCTTTCTTTCTTTTTCTGTACTAACCTCAAAAAGTCTCTAATGAATGTTGGAAGTTGTGACATGAAATGACTCTTTCGCCTGAGCATCGTCATTGATTTTTTTTCAGTTATGAGATTGTATTCCAACAAACTGTGGGAACTGAGGACATATACCTTGGACTATCAAGAAAGGATCCTTCGACAGCATGCTGTCAGCAGCTGGTGGTAAGTGTCGCCTCTTCTTCCCCATTTTGTGTATGACCATTATAGATAACTAACTGCTATTTTTGTAGGATTGTAAACAAATATGTAAACTGCAAGTGGGGGCTGCTGTGCTTAAGGTACCAGGGGATTGACGGGATCATTTAAAATGGATCGCATCCAAAAACCACCTCAGCTTATACATGTTACACAAAATGTACAAATAAACATGGCAAGGTCATATGACACAATGCACTATTTCTAGTCATATTAACACGACCTAATATCATACTGAATATGCTTCCATTCATGTTCTGTCTGCTAATGTGACTGGTTATTACCTCCTGATGAGCTTACAGGCCAAATGGGATAAAATATTTCCTTCCCTGAATCTGTCTTATCTGTTATTTTTCTATTCTTGGGATGACTCAGCTTGTAATGGGGAATTTCAAAAAAGCATTTTCTTTCAGACCTGATTTTTACTGCTAAAAATAATTGTAAAATGTTGCTTAGTTCCCTCGTTTGAGTGACGCCACAGCTCATTGGGGACCATGTCACCATTTCTAACAACAATAGCAATGCCAATAATAGGAACGAAAGCACTTAAGTGTTGCTTATTCCATCCCCTTAATGATGTTGTTGAAAAGTCTGAGTCAACCTTAGAATGTGAAATTCAGCTCACTTTGGCAACATGTAAAAGTAATTGGTGTTAGAATTTTATTTTTTTTTTAGATCAGGGGCTATTCTTTTTAAATCCTTTTCCTTCTCTTATATTATTGAATGCTGAGGTACCCACAGGAGATGTTTAATATCGTTTCTCAAGAAAATGATAAATGGACTCTCCTTTTGGCAGTAGCTTCAAGTTTTCTCTTATTAACAAAATCTAAGACATTCAATTGAATCAAGTAACATAATGGGAATAGTGACTTTAAGTACCTCAGGAGATTTTTCAAACTCTAATGAGTTAAGATTTCAAGTGATCTTGAAGTAATTAGCTCCCAGGGTCTTACCAGTAATATTCAAATTTCTCTCCCTTAAATTACTGTAAAATTATGTTTTTGATGTCTAGTGTTGGGGATTGCTCTAAGCTCTGGAGAAATTCTAGGCTCTAAATAAATAAAACTCTTGCAAGTCTATCCATTTTTATTATGCAAATTGATATTAGTTTTAATATTAAAGGTATCCTGAATAAAGGATCCTTGGAAACTAAATCATATCTCGTAACAGGAATATACAGTTTATCTGAAACCAAATAAGAATATGTAGAGAATATTTGTGCTTCCTCTCTAATGAATTTATAATCAACTAGAGATAAAAACCCATTAAAGATAAATTGTTTTAAGCAATTAAACTCAATGTAGGCAATTGTAAGACTAACAGGAGTTCAGGTTTGGATAAGGCATGGACACCAAAGACAAACAATCAAATAAAACATTGTTAGTGCCATGACACCCCTGTCCGTGTGTGTGTGTGTGTGTGTGTGTGTGTAGGCTGGAGGGCAGTTTTAGGTGTCAGTCTCATCTCAGGAACACCATCCACCTCCTCTGAGACAGGTCTTTTTTTGGCCTGGACTTTACCAATTAGACTGGACTGGTCAGAGAGCCCTATCCTCCTGTCCTGATCTCCTCAGCTCTGTAATTACAAGCATGAGTCACTATACTTGGCATTTTTATGTAGGTTTAGGGGACCCAAATTCATGTCCTGGTGCTTACAAGGCAAGTGTATTACCAGCTGAGCCATACTTCAACCCCCCACTTCTTCACTTCTATACTGTTCTTTTTTTCTTGCTTTCCTTTCTTTTCATCTTTAAACAATTGATTTCTACTACATACCAAACACTGTTCTAAGTGCTAACATCAAAAGAGAATTCACAAATAGCCAACTCTTCTCAGGAAATTTACAGTGAACGTGATAGATGTCTAAAAAAGAATCCCTGGAGTTCTTTGTGGTCAGCACGTGTGTGGAAGCATGTAACAGGTATGGAATGATAGAAAGCAGAAAAAGATTAGTGAATTCCATTTGGAGGAAGAGAATTTCTACAGCATACAGCATGCAAAGAAAGGCCTTCTAAGCCAAGCTAAAAGCATGGCATATTTGAATAAATGGTGACTATAACAAGAATCGTGTGTGTGTGTGTGTGTGTGTGTGTGTGTGTGTGTGTGTGTGTGGTTTTTCAAGACAAGGTTTCTATGTGGCTTTGGAGGCTGTCCTGGAACTAACTCTTGTAGACCAGGCTGGCCTCGAACTCATAGAGATCCGCCTGCCTCTGCCTCCCAAGTGCTAGGATTAAAGGCGTGCGCCACCACCACCCAGCAAGAATCAAGAATAAGTATAGACAATGAAATACTGGTCAAGTGACTCGCAAAACAGAACTTTTGACTTGAGTTGGAAGTATTGATGTCAGAAAAAGTAATAGAAATAGAAGTATGCAGGGGTCATGGGGTTGATTCCCCGCACAGTAAATAATCAAACTCCCAAATTTTAGCTTGATTTTGTTCCTATGAGTAGATGAATGTTGACATCCGTTCTCATTTCTTCAGTCCACTGGTAAGACTCAGAGTAAAGAGATTGCTAACCCATTTGCTAACTTGGCACAAGCTGGGCTTATCTGGGAAGAAGGAACCTCAGTTAAGAAAATGCCTCCATCAGATTGGCTGGTAGACAAATTGGGGTGTGCATTTTCTTCATTGATAATTGATGTGGGAGGGCCCAGTCCACTGTGGGCTTTTCCACTCCTGGCAAGGTTATCCTAGACTGTAAAAGAAAGCAAACTGAGTAACCTAGGAAAAGCAAGCCAGCACTCAGCACTTCACCAAATCCTTTGCATCAATCCTTGCATACAGGTTCCCATTCTGACTTCCCTCAGTGATGGAGTTGACCTGAGAGTTGCAAGCCAAAATAATCCCTTTCTTCCCTAAGTTGCTTTTGGTCGTGGTCTTTCATCACCTCAATAGAAACCCAACTAAGATAAATAGTTCTTGCTTGATTTTATGTTCTTATTTTTCTTATTGATAATATGGTGTTTCTTTGTATCTAAGACATCCGTACATTATAAACCTGTCATTCATTTCATCAAAATGTTTTAAAGAAAAGATAGCTACATCAAACAGATACACATCAATTGTATGATTCAGTTCTGTATCAGAAAAACTAAAATGTGGAGAAAATTGAACCTCAACATTGGCTAATATTTTAAGTGAGTTTGGACTTGATTGATATGTAGCAACCCAGTCCAAAGTCTTTTTAAAACACTTTGTTTTTTGTCCTTTCCTTCTAATCCCAAACCTAAAGAGTGACATTATTCAAATTCTGATGGCCTATTATTATACCCCTGCTACTTACTTGTGTGTATGTAACTACACAGTCTCCCTGGTCTTAATCTATAATAAAATATTTCCAGCTGGAGCTTGAGCTAAGTCTGTGGTTTACAGACTTGTTTTGCTTTGGTTTTAACTGTCAAGCCTTTTTTTCCCAAATACACTTTTATGAGAGATCTTAACACATAAAATCACCATTTCCTTGATGAAAAGCTACCATCATCCATGAAGTATCTAATAAGAATGATAGGGGCTCCTTGAAGCACCTTCGAAGAATGTTCATCTAGCCTCTCCTATTTATATTATTATATTAAGTTTGAGCTCATAAGGTATCAAATACTCCTAATGAATTAATAAAAGAATGATAAGAGAGCTAGAGTTTTTCCATCATTGGTGATATAGATGTTGTCTTAGTTACTTTTCTATTGTGATGAGGCACCATCACCAAGACAATTTACAAAAGAAATCATTTAATGGGGGACTTGCTTACAGTTTTGTAGGATTAGTCCATGATTATCATGATGTGGAGTGTGGTGGCAGGCAGATAGGCAGGGCAATTGAGAAGTAGCTAAAAAGCTCACATCATATCTACAAGTTGCATACAGAGAGAGACTGAGCCTACCCCAGTGACACACCTCCTCCAATAAGACCACACCTCTCATCCTTCCTAAACAGTCCACCAGCTGGAAAGCAGACATTCAAATATATGAGCCTGCAGGGAGCATTCTCATTCAAACCAGCACAGACGTGTTTCTGTATCCCTCATGAGTACAAGGCCAGTACTTTGTTTTGTTTTAGTGTCCTTTTCATTCTCTATATTCTCCATCCTTCCCTCTCCCTAGGTCTCCACTCTATGGATCTTCTATAAATATCCCTGACTATACTGTCTTCGAATACCTGCCTATCATTGTTTGCTATAAAGTTTTAATTCAACAAATACTTAAAGAGGACTTACTACGTGCCAGATGCTATAGATGGATCACACAGTAGATAAGTAATGTTGAACAAAGTAAACAAATTTCTTTCTCCATTACTGACAAAACCAAACAGTCCATAAGTGGTGGTGCTTTGGGAGCCGCTAGGCATTCTGAACAGATTTTCACAGATTCATCAATAGGAAAACAATGGCCCTCAAAGGCAGGAGATTATTACTTAGACAAAGAGTACTAACAAGATCACTATTGAATCAGCTCCTCAAATCCTTTGATCAAGGGATAATAACAAAGTAAAAGGGTCCAGATGGCAGGTAACCTGAGCAGTAGGGTAGACTGTTGCTGTGGGGTCAACTCTGCACTACAGCCAGATACTTTACACTGTGTACTCGGGGTAAGTGAAGTGGCAAGTTCTATGCTTATCTGGAACTAAGAAGTAGTGTGAGAAACTGCCTCATGGCAGATTGAGGGCCCCCTACAAGGTCAAAAGATGGATACGAAATAGCAGTGAGGCAATTCCTCAAAAGTTACTTACCTTCCCACACTCCCAGAGGATCATAGTATATTCTGCCAAGACCTAGATCACACTATAGTCTAACTTTGCTTATACGGCCTATGTGGATATTGCAGGGTCACTAGAATAGCATGGTAGAGACATTTTCCTGCAGGCTGAAAAAAATGAGTTTGCCTTGCTGCTTTCACTTAATAATAGGAATAACAGCAAATGGTCGAGATAATGTTGATTATGTGCTAAGCATTTCTCTAGAAGCAACAA